TTACTTCATAAAAAAATCATAAAATGCATAATATTCATATCATTTTAATACGAGTTAGTTTCGTAGACTGTATCTATGACTTGTAATAATAAAAAAAAAACTAAGTTTACCATAAACCGAACATGTGATCAACGACGAAGTTTTAGAGAAAATAAAAACAAAAAGCACACTCATACTTAGCATCAGCCAGACATTTTGATATGGTGTAATGGTTAACAAGCTTATCTTGCTAGATCAATTACGACTGAGTAGTGAGTTCGATTCTCGTTGGCTGCTCCATATTATAGGCATTGTGCCACAGCTAATCTAAGCTTAAAAATCATTTTAAGCTCATCTCACTAGAACTATTACGATTTGATAGTGACTTCGATCCTCACGGGCGCCCCCTTCTTTCAGCCTTATGCCATATCTAAGCTGCGCTTAAAAATTACCATGTGATCAACGACGAACTGTTGAAATAATGGAAACAAAAAGTTCGCTCATACTTTGCATCGGAAGGGCATTTCGATGTGTTGTAATGGTTAACAAGCTTGTCTCGCTCGATCAATTACAACAAAAATTTAGTCATTAAATAGTGAGTTTTGAGCCTTACTGTGTACCCTATGCTTTCGGCCTTGTGCCACAGCTACGCTTAGAAAATCATTTAAGTTTGTCTTGTTAGAATAATTACGACTGAGTAATGAGTTCGATCCTTACTGAGTGCCCCATACTCTCGGCTTTGTGCAACATCTAAGCTACGCTTAGGAAATCACCATACTTAGTATCAGAAAGTAACAAGTTAAATTACCAGGTGCACATGATTAGGAAAGAGGGTTTGGAAAATTTGGTACTCATAGGACAGATTGAAGGCAAGATGGACAGAGGAAAATACCTACATGACTTACCTAACAAACTTTTGTAAATGGATGGCAGAACAAGAGGTAGAAATATTTTCGTTAGAAACAAAGAAAACATCACTGAACTATTACGTAATATCAGTCTTCTGAATTTGGCTGTAAATGCTGGAGAATCTCTTCGCAGATGAAGAAGCAATTTGAAGCAGAATATGCTGAGAATACCATAGACCGAACATGTGATCGACGACGAAGTTTTGGAAAAAATGGCAACAAAAAAGATACTTTGACATAACATCAGAAAGAAACGGTTGAAATTTCTAGGGCACATAATGAGAAATGAGAGATTGGAAAATATGATACTCACAGGGTATATTGAAGGCAAGAGGGCCGGAAAAACAACAACCTACCTAGAGAACTTGAATAAAAGGATGACAGATCAGAAATTAAGAGAAATATTGATTGATTCCTTCATTTTCTACGGCTTATCAACTCTTTGCGGGTTATTTAAAGCCAGAAAATATTTTTAGATTGTAAGAATCTTTTTGGTTGAGCCGGGAGATAATTATGATTTAGCGATACAAGTCTTATTAATTAACCCATAGCTGGGTGGAGGGGAAGTGGATTCATGCCTTTCCCAAGGGTATTTGCGCGTAATTTAATATAACGAAACCAATTGGAATTGAAACCCGACTCTCCGATTAAGAATTCCGAGCCACCAGCACATACGAGCTTACAACCCCTGGTATTTCCAAGCGGTCACCCATCTAGGTATTGACCGGGCTTGAAGTTGCTCAACTTTGATGATCGTACTGAAACCGGAGTTTCAACGTGATCTGGTCGTAAGTCTTGGGGGGAGTTAACAAGAAGACAAAAATTATTAAGAGTTATAAAGGACATGGAGAGGCATGATAGCCAAAGTCCTGAATGGACATGGCACATAAAAGAAATGAAAGATGTTTACCGTAATAAACACCCATTGTTTTTTTCTTCAAGTGGAATAGAAACAATACATAGAATTTGAATGTATTATTTGTGGATTTAAAACAATGAGTTGTGAAGGCTTGTATTTCAGAAATTAGTTTTGGATCGGCAACTAAACAGCTTTCAGTTCCAGAGTCAAGTGTAAATTATATCCTGGAAGAAAAGGCAAAAGAAGATGTTGCAACAATTCCTGGAAGGAGCCGTAAGACTAAAAACACTCTCTAATATTTCAATGAATGGGTGTCAGTGAATGCAAGGTTCCTGTTGCGCTAAAAGATACCGTTTCTGACTTTACAAACAATGGAGAGAAATGTTGCACATCGTACGATAAGCAGTGCGCTCATTAAACCTGTTCGCATGTTATCGCCCAAGAAAAATAACTTTGCTTAAAAGCCATCTTTACAAGGCTCGATTGGAAATTTCACGTGCCCACATGGGAAAAGATTCAGTTTTAAGGAGTGGTGAAACTAAAATTGGATTTTTTTGGACGGTGAGTGAGGAGAAAAAAAGAGAATTTATGACACATAGAAGCACAATCCCTAGTTTTAAAATGCTCTGGAAGTGTTCTTGTGGCAACAGAAGTGTAACTTAATATTTTAAAGAAAAATCTTTTTGAAAGATGGCGTTAAACATCTTAAAGATTCTACCTTTTTGGAGAACGGCATTTCACATACAAAAGAAGATAACGATTGACATAGCATTAATATTTTTGAAGATCAAAGTTGACTGGAAAGCAAGAAGCTGGAGGAGCATTCCACAAGCGAGAAGTGCAGAGAAGTTACGACTATATTTGGCCATTTCAACTGTAAAATGATGAGACCTTACCGCCGAACTTGTCTTTCTTTTCTTTTTATGTGCCGTATTCTTTCAGGACGTAGGCGGTCATGACTCTCCCCTTAACCCTATCCCTTGTCGCTATCAATAAGTTTCGTGCCCCTGTCAACTCCCCCAGACCACGTTCTGCCATCCACTTACTGAAGCCCACCAGGTATGTCATGCGTTATTTTCCCCTGTCTCTTTTTCCCTGTATTCGACATGTGAGTATCAGATTCTCCAGGCCCGCCTTTCTCATTACGTCACCCAGAAATTTCATCTGCCTCTTTAAATATAAGCTCCCTCCTTGTTTGCATCCATTCCAAGACCTCATCGTTGATATCCTTAGTATCCTTTCTGTATAACCCCATCTCTGCTGCCTCGAGTCTCTTCTTTATCTTTAAGGAGATCGTCCAAAAGTTAGGAGGACAGAGGTCACGTAGCAGCTCAGTACTCCTTAATTTGTCACCAAAGAAATCCTCCTGTCTCGCAGTACACTGTCCAGCTTTTGGAATGCATCCTTGACTAATCATGTACCAATCATGTACTGCGCTTAAATTCAGGTTAAAGTCTAGGTACCATAGAGGAAAGTTCATCGGAGCAATTACCATGAAAGTATTTGTTGAAAAGGTACAGGGAAGCTATATTCTGATGGTGTGAAAGTGACAGAAGCTGAGATGCCATGTCAGACAAGACCAACAATATTGCAGATTCATTTTTGGATTTTATCAAGTATCTCTAAATATATTGCAGGAGCATTAGACTAGATATGGCAGCAATATTCAAAGCAAGGAGGAATGGTAGACTTATAAATATGAAAGACAGATTGTGGCAAAAAATTCACTAGCACGACACAGTGAACCAACTTTGCTTGCAGTAGGCGTAACAATGGATTCAATATAATGTTTTCACTTCATGTCAGCTGAAAAAGAGAAGGCACAGTAAATCATTCTCCTGAAGGTTAACATCAGCATGACTGATGGAAGGTAAAAAAAAGGTTCTATCAGATGATTAAAAGACAGCAGTTTCATTTTGAAAGTATTAAAATTAATAGGCCATTCCTTGCCCCAGTTAACAAAGTATTGTATGTTATTTTTAAACAGATGTCAATATGACCTTATTGAACCGATCAGACTTACAATTAAGACAGAAGTAAATAGATGTGTCATCAACATAGATACTGAGTTGAGAACCGATTCTATCAGTATTGACATGTATGAAAATTAGGAACAACATAGTTCCAAGGATAAAGCAATGGAAAAACCTGCATTAATAACAAATGATCTAGAAGAGTGGCCATTCCAGATAACATTCATTTCGTCATTTGATAAGAAAGACTTAAAGTTTAAAAAGAAAATTCGCCCAGAAATATCATAGCCTTTCAAATTGTGAAGAAGACCAGTATGCCAATTCCTGATAAATGCATTCGAGATATCCAAAGCAACAATCTGAGTTTCACTATTCTTATCTAAAACTTGATAGACATTTTTTCCGCAATAATCGTTAATGCATCAGCAGTTTACCTAGAGAAGCGAAAGTCATATTGCTTATCTAAAAGAAGACCCTGCGATGTGAAATGCTTAACCAATTCAGAGTTAATTAGAGCCTCTTGTACGTTGCCAGAAAGATGTAGAACGCTAATAAGCCGATAGTTGGAAGGATCAAACGGTTCGCCTAAGTTCTTAAACACTAAGACTAAAGAGGGTTTCCAACAAGCAGGAAAACAAAGCATTTACTGTAGAGCTTAGCGTGAACAGGAACGCATTTCTTAAGAACTATTGCTGGGATATCATCAAGATCACATGCTTTGTGAGTATTCAGTTTAGAGCTGATAGCAGAAGCCATGAATGAAGTTATATGCATATCACACAATAGAAATTCATTTCTAAGAGTAAAGTCAGGAATTTGTACTCCAGATGAGACAAGAGTAGAATTTGAAGAGAATTTACGAGAAAAATAGTGTACTAGAAAGATGCATATATATATATATATATATATATATATATATATATATATATATATATATATATAGTCATCCACAGACAGACTATTTCACTATATCACAGCTCATCAGTGTTAGGCATCTGATCGCTTGAGGGCGATTTGGTATCATCGAAGATTCTAACCCCTAGGCCATTGACGCCCGACAGAGAGAAAGGCGAATTTTTGCATATTTATTTTTCAAAAACACACCAGTCACTTAGAGAACTCAATCGGCTTGGAGAGCCTTGTATTATCAGGAGTAATAGTGTCTGTCTAATATTTCTATCTGTCTATCTGTATATATATATATATATATATATATATATATATATATATATATATATATATATATATATATATATGGATAGAGTGGTGTAATAAACAAACTAGGAAAGAAAGAATGTAATAACATAGATAGATAGATAGATAGATAGATAGATAGATAGATAGATAGCATTCATCGTTTTGTTTTAATTTAATGGTGTCTTAATAAGTGATTTGAATATTTTCTTTAAAGTTGTGGAGAGCCATGATTGCCCATGACCTAAAGGGACACGGTGCTTCGAAGACCGGAGACATAATTTCTGTGATTTTTGCATCAATATCTCTAAGCTATGCGATTTCCAAATGTATTTTTATTCAATCATCTGCTTTCGTTTCCGGTAAAATAAAAGCTGCCAGAGGTTCGTCGTCTGACAATCAGAAAATACAGTGAAAGATCTGATAAAAAAATAAAAATAAAAAAAAACAGAACCATTTTTTTTTTTTTAAACTTTTTCTTGAAACGTTAAAGGGACAAAGGGCGTGCAAATAGGGAGCAAAAAGAAAATATTTATAAACCCGCAGATGATGGAAATTGTTCGATACCTCTGCCCTTTAGTCGTCCAATAGGGCAATGTAATAAAGAATTTAAAAAAAAAAATAATGTTAGCGTTTATTTTATTTATTCATTTATTTTATTATTATTATTTTTTTTTTTCACGAAGATTCATCATTGCCTTTGAAGAACGTCAGATCGTTTTATGAATATTTTCTCAGCAATCAAAATCGATAACTGGAACGACAAAGTGAGAAACTAATTCAATAATCGGCTGTCGACAGAGAAATATGGCGATCAAAGGGACTTTAGATGAGGTTTATGCTGAAAACGAACTGATTTTATGGCATCGAGACATCCAAAAGATACGTCAATTATTACTTATGTATATATACGCATACACAGATTCAAATAGATATCAATACGTATCTATTAATTTTAGCTTTACATGTCTATACCCAACACTAAATACATACATACATATATATATATATATATATATATATATATATGCGTGTGTGTGTGCGTTTGTTCACTCTGTAGTTGTACATAGAATATGTATTCCAGTATCGATTAATCCTGATCGATTATGATTTAATGAATTATTTTAGCATTATTATTATTATGATTCTTTTTTTTCCTGGTAATAACTTCTTTTTTTTTTCTTTTTATTTACTTGAGGTAATTGATAAATATGTAGATAGCTTTCGTAAACTAACAAATTTTTTATTTCTTTCTGATTCACAGATAGGCTGAAAAAGACGGGCAAACAAGAGCTGCTTTAAGAAAATCAACTATGAACACGGCCATGATGTACTGGTCGGATTCGGTCATTTCAAATATGCCCACGTCTCAGTAAGCTACACACCAGCTGCGTCAACACAATCAAACTTGAAAAATGGCTAAAAGAATAGCCGAAAGAGGCTATCGAAACAAACTATCGTTTGGATAATTTTATAGGACACTAAATTAAAAAAGAAAACTTTTGTTCTCACACAAGAAAAATACATTAAAAAACTTATTCCTTGACAACCATTTTTAATGAAACATGTATTAAAGAGGGATTGCTGCCAAAATCCACAAACATCTGTGATCTTAATTATCCTATATATTTATCCTTTGATATTTATTTAATATTTTTTACTTATTCAAAAATATCATCAAAGTAAGTTGTTAATGGGCCCCTCTTAGCAAGACTGTTTATATATTTCGGCAGCAACCATTCTTTTATACATGATGAATGTGAAGGACAACGAAAATTGTACAAGTTTTAATACAAATTGTCTAGTGTCCTTACAGTTTTTCTCTTTTATAAGAACTAAGAGCGTGTAGAAAATGTCTTAGTGATTATCATCCCAAGCGCTTTCGGCTAATTCTTTAGACATTTTTGAAGGGTTGTTAATTTTTGTTGTTAATATAATTTTGTGTTTGTATTCAATATTATGTTGTATAGGAATAGTAATAATTTAATTTGGGGCACTACTTGGGGTGTTCAATCACAGCCAGTATGTTCGGGCTGATTTCAAATGAAGAAATGTTAATTGTAACTCTGCTGGTTTTTATAAAGAGTGCTTCAATTATCTTTAAACGTCTTTTACAATTAGGTCTTTTTAAAATTATTGCATTATCTACAAGGGTTTTTCTTATGGATGCAGTGTGTTGGATATAAGTGTTTAAGTCTTTATCGAACCAAGATCACTGAAGAGTTTAGTTAGACGCCTGCTTTTGCATTCTTTTTTAATCCTTTTTACGTTTGCAGCCTTTCACAGAACAATGGAATTTGTAGACAACATTGGTGTACTACAGCTTGGATTCCATTGGCGTGTTGTCATTGGTAATTATGTGGTTGGTATATATGTAGCATATAAAATATGTAACGCTCTACGGGTTGAGAAAAAGCAATAAGACAGTTGGCAAAACTAAAATTGTCGAGCAATATTTTAAAATGTTGATCTTGCAACGGTAATTTCAGTTTAAAAAATACGCGTTAAAGAGACCGTCTGGCTTGATTTTACGATAGCCTTCATTTTTTTTTTTTTTTTTTTCGTCGAAATTCGACAATATTATTGCTGTTTCACTTGAAGAATGATCTAAAAAAAATAAGATTCAAGCTAGTCAGAGTTTCGTTATTATGTGGACCAACTTGAAAAAGTGTATATACTTTACCTTGGGAAACAAGAGTTGGCATTTTCACCTCAACCCATCTCGCCATTTTGGACAGGTTACTGACTGTGATGAAAAATGTATATTTTTGTAAGAGTACAAAATCACACACACACACACTCACATATTATATGAGAAGAAACCACTCCTCCTTCAACTAATCCGATTTATATATCATATGTAAATCAAACTAAAGACAGCAGCTGAGCAATTAAGTGAATCATATATGGCATTGAGATGCCAGGCATATTTTCCTTTATAAGATTTCTCGAGCATCCTGGTCGGTAGACGAAAATAAATAAATATACCGTTTAATAAATAAACGGAGCGTCTACTAAAACATGAGTTTCTACTAAAAATAACGTTTAAAGTGCTATATATATATATATATATATATATATATTATAATTATTTTTTTTAAATATGATTCTTTCGCTACATAAGAGTTCTCATCCGCATTAAATAATTAACATTAAAAAATCAACTTTCATAGTTTAATAAAAGGCTAAAAAGCTTAACCCAATCATTAAAAGGAAAAACCCTTTATGAAGTCGTCAAAAAAACAAATTGTAGTTCAGTGCGACGCATTTATATATGAAACAGCCCGTTGAAAATAAATGAATAAATAAAATAAAACAAAATTATCCAGGCACTTAACAACATATTCTCTGTGAATGAACAGACGATGCGCGTACAAGAAAGACATCATTCGCATTGAAATAGACACTCCACCCTACCCTAGCTTGGCCTCTCCCTGAAGGTGACTAATATGTGGATACAAATTATCTTATAGGCCCCTTATCAAAAATGGTCGCCCCAGCCGTTTCCATAGTAACGAATGAACATGCTTATAACGATACGTAAACTTCCAAATTGGTTATTCCTAAATTTTCGCTTGAGGATGAAACAGGTCTTGTTACTTTAATTCAATTTAATTTTAATAAGTATATTGATGGTTTCGGCTCTCGTTTTTGAAACATGGGGACGCTTATGTAGCGGAGGAATCGTATTTTTTTTTAAAAATAATTATAATCCAAGCTCTACTTCTGTATGGAGCATTGTTTTTTAAAAATAAAAACAGAAATACTAAAGAACCCAGGATTATTTACATAACATGTTCTTTCCTATTTTTCTACATACCTGCACAGACACACACACACACACACACATATATATATATATATATATACATACATATATATATATATATATATATATTAAGCGTTTCACTATATATATATATATATATATATATATATATATATTACGATAAACGTGCAATCAATTTACAAATACATGAATTATTCACACAAAAACTAATGCAAAGGTTAATGATTTAAATGGCGAGACATCCATCATCGCAAACAATTCAAATAATATACAAAAACCTCCGTATCCGTTATGAATGAAATGATCCTTGTTTATATAAATTTCTGCCGTATTAGTTCTTATTTTTACTACAAGCTTTCGTCTGTTCCTACAGACATCTTCAGGTATAGAATAGATGTTGTTCTTGTTTTTTCTCTTAGTAATAAGAGGACTACAAAAATATATGTATTGTTGTATCCGAAAATGCTATTGAAAATGAGTTACTGTTTTTGGAGCGCGCAAAAGCAACGCTGAGTTTGATTTTAAATTTTTAAAGGTTGTGCGTTCATATATGGTGATGAACGAATTTTTTACTGGTAAATTTTTCTGTCAAAGTGGCAATCATTAACCTTTGCATTAGTTTTTGTGTGAATAATTCATGTATATATATATATATATATATATATATATTTCACCGTTTCACACGGGAAGACACTAGGACGCAAGGGGTTACAGAAGATTTGGAACAAGATCAGATAGGAGTGATAGAGGAAAGGATGAGGAGAAGGATAGTGGATAGATCAAGGTAACTGTAGATGTCGATTGACATTACATTTGAATAGTTGGAGATTATAGCTCTCAGGGAAACTGGAATAGGGGATTTCCACAGGCGAGAGGTGCGAGATATGAAGCTATTGGAGTAGAAGAGGCGGCTACATTTAGTAGTTTCGACAGTGAAAGAGTGAGAGCGGGATGCCAGCCTCGTAGGGCGCTTGAACTCATGAAGTCTGGGAACCAGCGAATGCAAATCCTCGGAGCAATTGCCATGAAAGTATTTGTAAAAAAGACAGAGAGAGGCGACGGCGCGTCTGTGAGAGAGCGACTGTAGACGAGATACCAGAACAGGGCCAATTTATATATATATATATATATATATATATATATATATATATATATATAAATCCTCAGCCTAATGATGTAAAACGTAACATTTTTATTTTTCAACATTAGCAACTTTGTTATCAACGCACTTTATTCAATGGTGAATATTAATCTTATGAATAGAACAGTATACAGTGAAAATGTCAGATCAAATTTCTGCTAAGAGTGAGCTTGATGACTTATTGATTCACCCATGTTTTGTGTGGTTTCCCGCTGTATGCATGTATGCATGTATGTATAATAATAAAAATAATAATAATAATAATGCTATCGAAAATTAAAAACATAAATTAGAAGCAGTACATTGAACATTTCATTTGAAAATCGAAAAAGAAAAAGCCAGCGGCCAGTTGGCCTGCTGGACAGAAAAACGGAGAAAGTGTTGGGGTTTATGGAATATAAACAAACTATTATTGAAATGAACGTAAAACACAAGGGAAATTACTAATGGCACTAATAAGGAGTATCATCCCATTGGCTTCACTTTCAAGTAAACTTTAAGAAATCGATACATACAAATGTACACGAATACAGACTTGGGTAGTATCGAATGGAGACAAAAATCTGGATAAGCGGATGTGCGTGTACTTTCATTTTAGTCGCTAGCTGCCTAACTAGCTACATAGTATATATAGATAGATAGATAGATAGATAGATAGATAGATAGATAGATAGATAGATAGATAGATAGATCTGGCATCGATAATTAGTATAAAATAGAGATATAATGTTTCTATATACGTTCATGTTATTGGATATAACTGAAGTGATAGATAGATAGATAGATAGATAGATAGATAGATAGATAGATAGATAGATAGATAGATATCGTTAAATTGTATGAAATAAATTTATAATGCATTTATATACGTCCGAGTTATTTGTTAGAACTAAAGTAACTAACACAGAAAGATAGATATATAAATAGATTTAAACAGATTTAAACAGATAGATAGATAGATAGATCCACCCATCTATCCATTAAGCTCAGTTTGTATAAAATGTCCTTTGGGAATTGCATGAATCCGACTTTCGCCAGCATTGGGTTAAGTAGCAGGAAAGAATGATCTCCCAGACAACCAGTATAGGAGAAGGAAAACATTTAATCCAAATCCGTTATTATACATTAGATGGATACTGATGGACTTGATTCTAAGTTTAAACATTTGGTAAAAATCCACTTATATATATATATATATATATATATATATATATATATATATATATAATGAACTCTCTCGTCAGTTTCGACATATGAGGATGTGACAGCTTAGTTGAATTTTGTGCGATAATCTTAAGTGGCATTTAAGACCCGCTAGTGATTTACAAAGGAGGCCACATATGGAGCAATAGTGAGGATCGTGAGATGAGATCACTGTTAGATTGGCTGACTTTTTAGATCTTGCTCTCGCTTCTTGAAGATGATTCGGACAAGCAGATTGAAAACTGCTTAGTCTACTATATATATATATATATATATATATATATATATATATATATGGTTGTGGGGCAGCTATGAGTTAAATCGTAGTGGTGATTAGGCTCTTTAGCTTTGGTTGGCAACCAGTCAAAATCTCGTGTGGGGCGTGGGATGTTTGACGACCACCTTTCATTGGTTGGTTCTGCACAAGCTTTCATAGCTATAATGAAATCATATGTATTGGGATAAAGCTTGTCTGGTTCTTCAGTTCTTGAAGTTGGTCTGTTGGACCCCTTATAAGTCGAAGACAGCAGGTGAGTTCATCATATATAGCGGGTGTAATAATAAAATTGCTAAAATCATGTTACAACAGGAAGTCATGCTAGGTAGAGGGATCATCATTTGAAGTTAAAGCTAAGGAGATCAATTAGAAGACATCAAACCAAATCCATAATACGCTTGGCACGTGAGAGAGAAGTTTCAGATATGACAGTCCAATGAGAAGTGAAAAAAAAACTTGAAAATGCAAATCGGACGTGAAATCCGTGAGGCGCCTTGTTACTCCAGGACAGAAACTTAAAAGGTTAGACAGGGCAAAAATCATCTTGAATCAGTTAAAAAATAATCCCAAAATAAGATAGATAGATAGATAGATAGATAGATAGATTATGGTGTATTAATGGTTTATTTTAATTCTACGTTTTTATTAGTTTAAGCATTATTTTTAGTGGATACCCGTGTTTGAAATAGACGCCTAATTATTTTTAATTTTTTTTTTAATCTACCTGTCTGCACACTCGAGAAATAATACAGAAAATGCTCTCTAAGGCAGATTTCGAAACTGGGGCCCGTTTTATACTTGAAGCCACCGTTTGATCTGTCGTGCTTCAGATAACTCAGCATCACAGTTAAGCAATTTTCTTTAAGGAATGCGCATCCCTCGTTCAGATTTTCCGAAACGTAAACAAAGCAATTTCTATAGAATAAATGGATTTATTTTTAATCTGAAATTTGTAATAAATCTAACGTTATTTTTAGTGGATCCTCGTGTTTAAAACTGACGTACTGCTATTTTCGTTGTTTATATATATATATATATATATATATATATATATACGAAGAAAAATATACAGAAAAAACAAACAAAAATACTAATATGCAATTATGCTGTTTTAATGTTAATATAATGTCAACGTCGGACGTTTCGGTCTAACAGACCATCTTTAATATTTCCCCTTTTCTAGCAAGATTAATGCTCGACAAACGTACATATAAGTTTTAGATCAAAATAAAATTATTTCGTTTTTCATTCAAAAAATACTCAAATTTTAGGAATACGTTTTCACAACATCGCCCACGTGACGACGACGTGATCATATTTAAACGGAACACTGATCTTATAAAAGATTTCAGTTATCTGTTTGGATTGGTCTTGCTCTTATGTCCATCGTCTTTTTCATGTTTAATTGAATATGGTCTATTGTTAATTATGTTTTATGAATATGTCCTGAAGATGGTCTATTAGTCCGAAACGTCCAACGTTGACATTGTATTAACATTAAAACAGCATCATTGCATATTAGGATTTTTGTTTGTTTTTTCCGTATATTTTTCTTCATACTGTCGGATATCCATATATTTGCTTACATATATATATATATATATATATATATGTGTGTGTGTGTGTGTGTGTGTGTGTGTGTGTGTGTGTGTGTGTGTGTGTGTGTGTGTGTGTGATAAATATGTGCCACACCTCCGTAAGCATGTCTGTCTTGTGTGGGTGAGAAATGTGGGTAGGTTTTGATTTGTAGGGTCACATATTAATACTATCTATATTGTTAAATTTATGATTTAGCCCTGCTGGATATTGTGTTTTTAGACGTTGTATCCACTTATTTTCATGGAACTCTAAAATCTTTCTAATGTTATCTGCTCTGAACTTTTCTATTCTCGATATATATTAAAAATTATATATTAAATTGTCTCTCTCTTGAGAGAGAGAGAGAGAGAGAGAGACAATTTAATATATAATTCATAGATGAGAGGTCTCTCTCTATCTCTCTCTCTCTCAAACACGGATATATATATATATATATATATATATATATATATATATATATAACAGCAAAATTGTCCAAATCGTGTAAAAGCAAAATTGTCCAATTGTTAGATTTTGCTCTTAACCGTTGTATTTTAGAAATGATTAAAGATATCTTACTGGAATTCTCCGAAGTGTTTATAACAATATTGGACTCTACATTGAGCAAATGTATAGATACAAAAAAGTATTTGTAAAAAAGACAGAGAGAGGTGACAGCGCGTCTGTGAGACAGCGACTGTAGACGAGATGCTAGAACAGGCCTATATATATATATATATATATATATATATATATATATAGAGATATATATAGAGAGAGAGAGAGAGAGAAACCTCTCATCTATGGATTTCCATCAACGAACTTCAGATACAATGGACAAATCTCCATGAAGAAAAATCTGCAGGAAAAAAAAATTCCAAATCGTCAGCGATGTATTTCAACTTTTGTGGGCTTAGCGGAAAGAGTTGTATTAATCCTTTAAGTGACTACTTGGTGCCGTTGGTGGTCCTTTCAATTGTAAACAAAGATCGGTGTACAGTATACAAAGCTCGATACACTAGCGTGCACGTGAGAAAGTAGCTGTGAGAAATCTATTATTTTTGCTATTTTGATTGATAAATCTATATTAAGAATATATTTATTTATTCCATATATACATGTTTATAGTATTTACATCATGATCATAACTACTGGTAGTTACTATAGTCGTTTTATAACTCAAAAATAATCCTATTCCATATATGGACAATCGGTTTTAATAAAATCCCTCCTTCTCGTATTAGTCCATTGGTGAAAGGTTTGTCTGAAAAAAAAAAAAAATATATATATATATATGCGCGTCTGTGTTCGTGTGTGTGCGTATGCGTGTATGTGTGTGTGTAATGACTGTTCGATCAGTAACTTCTAAGGAATTTGCATTAGAATTCTGAATTATGACAAAAACCAATATTGTGGACCATAAAATTGTTAGAAGAATCGAAGTGAGATCGAAATGTTCAATAAAAATGTTTGCAGTTTACGTTAGACACTATACATAAGAAAAATGCGTGGGTGCTCACACACTCACACACACGTGCTTATATATATATATATATATATATATATATATATATATATATATATATATACACGTTCCATAGATTAATGATGTAAAAAGCATTTATAAAGCAGACTATTTGACAGCCACAGTGATTAAATTTTATTGGAAAGTATGCGGCACTGCAGTAAATTTGAAAAACCACTCCTTTTGCGCAAGAGAGTGAGAAAATCATATATATATATATATATATATATATATATATATATATATATATATATATATATATATATCATATAAAAGGCCAAACACTAATATTCCATGGTTATAATTTTCTACATTGGAATCGTTATCACAATCAATATCATCCGACCTACAAATTCAATTTTTTGAATTTGTACGTCTGATGAATTGGATCGTGATTACGATTCCAATGTAATAAATTATAACCATAGAATATTAGTGTTTATTATTATTTTATAGTCTTGCTCTGTCCTGGACATTGGGCTCTACCTGGATTCTAGCCTATTATTTATATATATATATATATATATATATATATATATATATATATATATATATATATATATATATATATATATATATATATATATATATATATATATATATTGACCTTAGAGGCGAATCATGCTAGATAATATATATATATATATATATATATATATATATATATATATGCCTATATTTTTTATATATATATATATATATATATGCCCACTCGTTTTCGAGGATACCTGCCTAGTAGGGTGGATATTCAATCCCTATTGCAGCCACTTGCTCAAACACATTTGGGTTTTTTTCAACACCCAAAGAGCCCACCTGTGGTTTAAACAGCAACTATGCCGAGCGGGTCTTGGCTACAATTTCTTGGAGAGATTGTGTTATCTAGTGTGATTAGCAATCTGATCACGGCCAGCACCTTCCAACACACGATGATATATATATATATATATATATATATATATGTTAATGCATGTTTCATTAAATAATATTGACAAGTTTTGTCTATTTATTTTACGTAAATTTCTTTCATATTGTCTGATAAGCTCAATAACATTATCATTGAAAGACGAAAGGAAATCACCATATTGATACATGTTTAAATCCAATCTAAACTTTCGGCTTACATAAGCCATTATCAAAGATGACAATTACTTTTCAATATATCAACCAATACGCTGACGTAGCAATAATGATAGTCTGTTTTTGTTGCATGAAAAATTTCAAAGCAACGACTAACTCGTGTTGCAGCTCGTGACGTCACACATGACCAAATGAGAGTGA